ATCACATCATGACTGACAGCACACATCCTACAAGTGTTAGCCAAGATCAGGAACCATCACATCATGACTGACAGCACTCATCCTACAAGTGTTAGCCAAGATCAGGAACCATCACATCATGACTGGCTGCACTCATCCTACAAGTGTTAGCCAAGATCAGGAACCATCACATCATGACTGACAGCACTCATCCTACAAGTGTTAGCCAAGATCAGGAACCATCACATCATGACTGACAGCACTCATCCTACAAGTGTTAGCCAAGATCAGGAACCATCACATCATGACTGGCTGCACACATCCTACAAGTGTTAGCCAAGATCAGGAACCATCACATCATGACTGACAGCACTCATCCTACAAGTGTTAGCCAAGATCAGGAACCATCACATCATGACTGACAGCACTCATCCTACAAGTGTTAGCCAAGATCAGGAACCATCACATCATGACTGACAGCACTCATCCTACAAGTGTTAGCCAAGATCAGGAACCATCACATCATGACTGACAGCACTCATCCTACAAGTGTTAGCCAAGATCAGGAACCATCACATCATGACTGACAGCACTCATCCTACAAGTGTTAGCCAAGATCAGGAACCATCACATCATGACTGGCTGCACTCATCCTACAAGTGTTAGCCAAGATCAGGAACCATCACATCATGACTGACAGCACTCATCCTACAAGTGTTAGCCAAGATCAGGAACCATCACATCATGACTGACAGCACTCATCCTACAAGTGTTAGCCAAGATCAGGAACCATCACATCATGACTGACAGCACTCATCCTACAAGTGTTAGCCAAGATCAGGAACCATCACATCATGACTGACAGCATTCATCCTACAAGTGTTAGCCAAGATCAGGAACCATCACATCATGACTGACAGCATTCATCCTACAAGTGTTAGCCAAGATCAGGAACCATCACATCATGACTGGCTGCACTCATCCTACAAGTGTTAGCCAAGATCAGGAACCATCATATCATGACTGACAGCACACATCCTACAAGTGTTAGCCAAGATCAGGAACCATCACATCATGACTGACAGCACTCATCCTACAAGTGTTCAGCCAAGATCAGGAACCATCACATCATGACTGACAGCATTCATCCTACAAGTGTTAGCCAAGATCAGGAACCATCACATCATGACTGACAGCACTCATCCTACAAGTGTTAGCCAAGATCAGGAACCATCATATCATGACTGACAGCACACATCCTACAAGTGTTAGCCAAGATCAGGAACCATCACATCATGACTGACAGCATTCATCCTACAAGTGTTAGCCAAGATCAGGAACCATCACATCATGACTGACAGCACACATCCTACAAGTGTTAGCCAAGATCAGGAACCATCACATCATGACTGGCTGCACTCATCCTACAAGTGTTAGCCAAGATCAGGAACCATCACATCATGACTGGCTGCACTCATCCTACAAGTGTTAGCCAAGATCAGGAACCATCATATCATGACTGACAGCACTCATCCTACAAGTGTTAGCCAAGATCAGGAACCATCACATCATGACTGACAGCACTCATCCTACAAGTGTTAGCCAAGATCAGGAACCATCACATCATGACTGACAGCATTCATTCTACAAGTGTTAGCCAAGATCAGGAACCATCATATCATGACTGACAGCACTCATCCTACAAGTGTTAGCCTAGATCAGGAACCATCACATCATGACTGACAGCACTCATCCTACAAGTGTTAGCCTAGATCAGGAACCATCACATCATGACTGACAGCACACATTCTACAAGTGTTAGCCAAGATCAGGAACCATCACATCATGACTGACAGCACTCATCCTACAAGTGTTAGCCAAGATCAGGAACCATCATATCATGACTAACAGCACACATCCTACAAGTGTTAGCCAAGATCAGGAACCATCACATCATGACTGACAGCACTCATCCTACAAGTGTTAGCCAAGATCAGGAACCATCACATCATGACTGACAGCACACATTCTACAAGTGTTAGCCTAGATCAGGAACCATCACATCATGACTGACAGCACACATTCTACAAGTGTTAGCCAAGATCAGGAACCATCACATCATGACTGACAGCACTCATCCTACAAGTGTTAGCCAAGATCAGGAACCATTATTTTATGGTCTTTCATCATAGTTATTTTGGGTGTATTTTTATAGGTGTAGATGTGATCCTTGCAATGGGATCATATCTCCCAAACACAAGACACGACATTTCGGAGTATATTCTTACTCCTTCATCAGGTGAATGAAGGACTAGGAAGCAAATAGTTGTATATATGTCAGTCATTCTCAAAACCCATGCATATTTATGGTATATGTTTGTACCTGTCAAACTTAAGTCAAAATCAATAAAAGAAATTTATCTCCACTTTACAGTAATAAAATTGAGAAAAAAGTATTTTTATATTATTTTCAACCCCCAAAACTCCCCAATTTTACTCAATTTTCATGTCACAACTCCAGTGGCTGAGGTGCAATTTGATTCTTTTGGTCTTGTTCATGTTTTTCAAAAGAAATTTTTTAACATATCATAATTATGATGTTACACTGACATGCTTGGCGTGGTTTGTCCTTTTTTGTATGGAAAATCATTTTGTAAACAAGGTCAAACTTTGTCCCTAGGTTTGATGTCACTGCCTTGACAGATTTTGTGACAGCAGTGACATTTTTCTAGTTTAATGTTGTTTGTACAATCGAACCCCGTTTATACGGACATTTTGGTTACACTTGGAAATCGAGGCGAGGCGAGGAGTCACGGTTAACTGGATCAAACAAGCAAAACATATCGACAATGTATATTGAAAATTTATTCATTTATGTATACTAGCCACATAAAGAAACTGTGCATTGTCAACATATTATCCCAGTTGATAAGTACGATAACAATGTCAAAGGTACATATAAACTTTAATGGAGGGATCATGAGACCATAACAAGTCGGAAGAATTTCAATTGAAAAGTCAGTCACAATGATGTCACGAGTCCACAAGCGGGACAGGGGTCAAACGACCATGTCACAAGCTCAATAACGGGTATGTCCACCATCGGCATTGAGAACAGCAGTGCATCGATGACGCATAGAGCCTATCAAACGTGCAAGGAAGGCTTGTGGGATGTCACGCCAGATTCTCTCAAGTTCTGTTGCAAGGTCAAGGATGTTATCTGGCGGATGAGGAAGACGGCGTAGACGTCGATCCATCTCGTCCCAAACATGCTCTATCGGGGAGAGATCCGGTGAATTTGCAAGGCAGTAAGTCAACGTTGTGGTGTTGCAAGAACCCTTGCCGTATGAGGGCGGGCATTGTCCTGTTGGAATGTTAACCCAGGGCCATGATGTTGAAGAAAAGGATTTGCCACAGGTCTGCCCTGAACAATCTCCAAAGGAGTTCTTTGGCGTGCTGTTATTCCACCCCAAGTCATCACTGAACCACCACCAAAGCGATTCCTCTCCAAGACACAGGCCTGTGCATACCATTTTCCCACGCGTCTATAGGCATGTTGACGTCCATCACTATGGGAAATGTTCAACCTGGACTCAGCTGTAAAAACAACATTTCTCCACCAAAACAAGGGTCTGCGGACATGATTTCGGCACCACATTCGGCGAGCTTGTCGATGACGTTGTGTCAGGATAGGCCGTATGGCAGGATGTCGTGGTCTGATCCCGTGATGACGTAAATGTTGTCGAACTGTGTTGGGGTGGATACGGCAAAGTCCTGGGATGGTTCGTGGATTGTGGATTTGTGTATGCACAGTTTCTTTATGTGCCTAGTATATATAAAAAAGTCCACAGTTCCGCAGCTCAGCTTAATCCTAATCCTAATTAACATGTGTTTTTGTTACTGATGAGATGTTCTCACACCTGCCACCACTGAAGTGACATGCGCCACTAGTGTTTTGATGGGTAATTACTGAATTCACATCAAATGCCTGCCGAGAGATTAACAATGAATACACTTAGTCGTGCGGTAAACCAAACATACACATGTGCACAGATCTTTCCGTCCGGATAACTGGATCATTTTGTCAATGGAAATCTATGGGAATGGTTTGAAACTTCTCCGTCCGGGTCCGAAAGCGCGGGAAGGCAGGGTTTCCTGATATACGGGGTCCGAGTAAACAGGGTACGACTGTATCTAAATTTCCAATTCGAAGATATCAAATGTTTTGGAATCTTATTTAACATAAAATTGTTGTATCAAATGAATAAAATCAATTAGCATATAAGTATGATGTTTTTGTTACGGTAAGGACAGGGTAGTGTAATGGCTGTGACAAAGACAGACACGGCTGTCATAGGGCCGTAGTCACGTAGTCACGGTAGTGACATTATATACCGGCACAATGTCACTACAATAACAATATATGACAATGTCAATGCCATCACATTTTCATTTTCCTTATTTAATTAAAATTGATTTATCTGTTTATGTCTGGAATCTGTAGTGCAAGTATGTGTGTTAGTAGAGCTCCAAGTGAGCATAATATTTATAATTCATATTCTCAGTTTTAATTTTTTCCTACATATTACTTTATATTTGCAAATCAGAAATGAAAGGAATTGTTTGGCTTGTTGGCCTCTTTTAATCAATAAATATAAATTTTCAAAACTTATTAGCAATGTTAGGTTGTAAAACTAGATATTTTAATATATTTGCACATTAAGTGATTTCAGCTTTGGATGTTTTTCTTTTCAAAATGGCGTTACAAGTTTCATAACGGTAGTGACTAAATTTCATGAAATTTCCATTAAAAAGGAAAAAATATGAAAAATGAAATGTCTTTAAGCTTGCATAATTTATGTTTTGTATATTCAGAATACTATGAATGTAATCAAAAACATCATATGTTATGGGTAGTATTTTAAGAATTAGAATCAATGTTGGAAGTATTTCAATGTTATGAATTTTGACTGGGGTGATAAACCAATTGACTCATAGAACTAAACATTTGTCATTTGCAGAGTATTTATAGGGTCTGGTTGGCCACTACGTCGCACTGAACCTTGTCACGTTGGAGATGTCATGACCTGTGTAATGGACTGGGAACAGCAAAAGGTTTCCTTCTTCAAGAATGACAAGATGGTCAGTGAACAGTGTTAGGTTTATGTTGTTGTTATCACCACTGGTTACCACTACATTGTTGTTATCACTGGTTACCACTACATTATTGTTGTTATCACCCCTGGTTACCACTACACTTTTGTTATCACCACTGGGTACCACTACATTGTTGTTATCACCACTGGTTACCACTACATTGTTGTTGTTATCACCACTGGTTACCACTACATTGTTGTTATCACCACTGGTTATCGCTACATTGTTGTTGTTATCACCACTGGTTACCACTACATTATTGTTGTTATCACTGGTTACCACTACATTATTGTTGTTATCACCACTGGTTACCACTACACTGTTATCACCACTGGTTACCACTACATTGTTATCACCACTGGTTACCACTACATTGTTGTTATCACCACTGGTTACCACTACATTGTTGTTGTTATCACCACTGGTTACCACTTCATTGTTGTTGTTATCACCACTGGTTACCACTACATTGTTGTTATCACCTCTGGGTACCACTACATTGTTGTTATCACCACTGGTTACCACTACACTGTTGATAGCATGATGGGTTATCACCACAGATTGTTGTTGATAGCATGATGGATTGGTTACTACTAGATTGTTGTTGATAGCATGATAGGTTGGTTACCACTAGATTGTTGATAGCATTGGTTACTACTAGATTGTTGATAGCATGATGGGTTAGTTACTACTACATTGTTGTTATCACCACTGGTTACCACTACATTGTTATTATCACCACTGGTTACAACTACATTGTTGTTATCACCACTGGTTACCACTACATTATTGTTGTTATCATGATGGGGTTACCACTACATTGTTGATAGCATATGGGTTTGTTACCACTACATTGTTGATACATGATGGGTTGGTTGGTGTAGTGGTTAGATGGGTTCCGCCCAGAGAGTTGATAGGTGATGGGTTCGATACCACCAGACCACGCATGATGGGTTGGTTACCAGAAGACGTTGATAAATGGGTTGGTTACTACTACATTGTTGGTCCATGCCTGAGTTAGTTACTACTACATTAATGGGTAGCATGACAAGGACTGGTCTTCTCAGTATGATAGTGTCTGATGGGGTTATTCATGCTTCACTGTGGTATAGCATCTCAGTAGGCTAGCACTATAAAACCAGCTTAAGTCTGATAGCTAGTACAAGCAGTGGGCGACATACACATGCTGATAGCATGCACGTTGGTTACTACCAGATTGTTGAAATATTCTCAAACAGACGAAAACCCTATTTCACCCTCACTACATTGTTGTTATCACCACTGGCATTACATTGTTGTTATCACCACTGGTTATCAGTACATTCTTGTTATCACCACTGGTTACCACTACATTGTTGTTATCACCACTGGTTACCACTACATTGTTGTTGATAGCATGATGGGTTAGTTACTACTAGATTGTTGTTGATAGCATGATGGGTTGGTTACTACTAGATTGTTGTTGATAGCATGATGGGTTGGTTACCACTAGATTGTTGTTGATAGCATGATGGGTTGGTTACTACTACATTGTTGTTGATAGCATGATGGGTTGGTTTCTACTACATTGTTGATAGCATGATGGGTTAGTTACCACTAGATTGTTGTTGATAGCATGATGGGTTGGTTACTACTAGATTGTTGTTGATAGCATGATGGGTTAGTTACCACTACATTGTTGATAGCATGATGGGTTAGTTACCACTACATTGTTGTTGATAGCATGATGGGTTGGTTACCACTAGATTGTTGTTGATAGCATGATGGGTTAGTTACTACTAGATTGTTGTGATAGCATGATGGGTTGGCACTGATTGATTGTTGATAGCATGATGGGTTAGTTACTACTACATTGTTGTTGATAGCATGATGGGTTGGTTACCACTAGATTGTTGATAGCATGACTGGTTACTACTAGATTGTTGATAGCATGATGGGTTGATTACCACTAGATTGTTTGATAGCATGATGGGTTGGTTACTACTACATTGTTGATAGCATGATGGGTTGGTTACCACTAGATTGTTGTTGATAGCATGATGGGTTGGTTACTACTACATTGTTGTTGATAGCATGATGGGTTGGTTACTACTACATTGTTGTTGATAGCATGATGGGTTGGTTACCACTACATTGTTGATAGCATGATGGGTTGGTTACCACTAGATTGTTGATAGCATGATGGGTTGGTTACCACTCCAGATTGTTGATAGCATGATGGGTTAGTTACTACTACATTGTTGTTGATAGCATGATGGGTTGGTTACCACTAGATTGTTGTTGATAGCATGATGGGTTGGTTACTACTAGATTGTTGTTGATAGCATAATGGGTTGGTTACCACTACAGATTGTTGATAGCATGAAGGTTTGTTACTACTACATTGTTGTTGATAGCATGATGGGTTGGTTACCACTAGATTGTTGATAGCACGATGGGTTGGTTACCACTAGATTGTTGATAGCATGATGGGTTAGTTACTACTACATTGTTGATAGCATGATGGGTTGGTTACCACTAGATTGTTGTTGATAGCATGATGGAGATTCGGTTACTACTACATTGTTGTTGATAGCATGATGGGTAGGTTACCACTAGATTGTTGATAGCATGATGGGTTGGTTACTACTAGATTGTTGATAGCATGATGGGTTGGTTACTACTAGATTGTTGTTGATAGCATGATGAGTTGGTAACCACTAGATTGTTGTTCATAGCATGATGGGTTGGTTACCACTACATTGTTGATAGCATGATGGGTTAGTTACTACTACATTGTTGTTGATAGCATGATGGGTTGGTTACCTTAGATTGTTGATAGCATGATGGGTTGGTTACAACTAGATTGTTGATAGCATGATGGGTTAGTTACCACTACATTGTTGATAGCATGATGGGTTAGTTTAACCACTACATTGTTGATAGCATGATGGGTTAGTTACCACTACATTGTTGATAGCATGATGGGTTGGTTACTACTACATTGTTGTTGATAGCATGATGGGTTGGTTACTACTACATTGTTGTTGATAGCATGATGGGTTAGTTACCACAAGATTGTTGATAGCATGATGGGTTGGTTACCACTAGATTGTTGATAGCATTATGGGTTGGTTACCACCAGATTGTTGATAGCATGATGGGTTGGTTACCACTACATTGTTGATAGCATGATGGGTTTGTGTTTACCACTACATTGTTGTTGATAGCATGATGGGTTGGTTACCACTCAGATTGTTGATAGCATGATGGGTTGGTTACCACTCAGATTGTTGATAGCATGATGGGTTAGTTACTCACTACGTTGTTGATAGCATGATGGGTTGGTTACTACTACATTGTTGTTGATAGCATGATGGGTTTGGTTTCTTCTACATTGTTGTTGATAGCATGATGGGTTGGTTACAACTACATTGTTGTTGATAGCATGATGGGTTGGTTACCACTAGATTGTTGATAGCATGATGGGTTGGTTACCACCAGATTGTTGATAGCATGATGGGTTGGTTACCACTACATTGTTGTTGATAGCATGGTGGGTTTGTTACTACTACATTGTTGTTGATAGCATGATGGGTTGGTTACTACTAGATTGTTGATAGCATGATGGGTTAGTTACTACTACATTGTTGTTATCACCACTGGTTAGCACTACATTGTTGTTATCACCACTGGTTAGCACCACATTGTTGTTGTTATCACCACTGGTTACTACAACATTGTTGTTATCACCACTGGTTACCACTACATTGTTGTTATCACCACTGGTTACCACCACATTCTTGTTGATAGCATGATGGGTTGGTTACCACTAGATTGTTGTTGATAGCATGATGGATTGGTTACTATTAGATTGTTGTTGATAGCATGATGGGTTGGTTACCATTAGATTGTTGATAGCATGATGGGTTAGTTACTACTACATTGTTGTTTATCACCACTGGTTTAGCACTACATTGTTGTTATCACCAATTGGTTAGCTAACTACATTGTTGTTGTTATCACCACTGGTTACTACAACATTGTTGTTATCACCACTGGTTACCACTACATTGTTGTTATCACCACTGGTTACCACTACATTCTTGTTGATAGCATGATGGGTTAGTTACCACTAGATTGTTGTTGATAGCATGATGGATTGGTTACCATTAGATTGTTGTTGATAGCATGATGGGTTGGTTACCATTAGATTGTTTGATAGCATGATGGGTTGGTTACCACTACATTGTTTGATAGCATGATGGGTTAGTTACTACTACATTGTTGTTGATAGCATGATGGGTTGGTTACCACTAGATTGTTGATAGCATGATGGGTTGTTGTTACTACTACATTGTTGTTGATAGCATGATGGGCAGGTTACCACTAGATTGTTGATAGCATGATGGGTTGGTTACCACTAGATTGTTGATGATAGCATGATGGGTTGGTTACTACTACTATTGTTGTTGATAGCATGATGGGTTGGTAACCACTAGATTGTTCATAGCATGATGGGTTGGTTACCACTACATTGTTGTTGATAGCATGATGGGTTAGTTACTACATTGTTGTTGATAGCATGATGGGTTGGTTACCACTAGATTGTTGATAGCATGATGGGTTGGTTACAACTAGACTGTTGATAGCATGATGGGTTAGTTACCAATACATTGTTGATAGCATGATGGGTTGGTTTAACCACTGGCTTGTTGTTGATAGCATGATGGGTTAGTTACCACTACATTGTTGTTGATAGCATGATGGGTTGGTTACCACTACAATGTTGTTGATAGCATGATGGGTTGGTTACTACTACATTGTTGCTGATAGCATGATGGGTTAGTTACCACAAGATTGTTGATAGCATGATGGGTTGGTTACCACCTAGATTGTTGATAGCATGATGGGTTGGTTACCACTCAGGATTGTTGATAGCATGATGGGTTGGTTACCACTACATTGTTGATAGCATGATGGGTTTGTTACTACTACATTGTTGTTGATAGCATGATGGGTTGGTTTACCAGATTGTTGATAGCATGATGGGTTGGTTACCACTAGATTGTTGATAGCATGATGGGTTAGTTACTACTACTGTTGTTGATAGCATGATGGGTTGGTTACTACTACATTGTTGTTGATAGCATGATGGGTTTGTTTCTTCTACATTGTTGTTGATAGCATGATGGGTTGGTTACAACTAGATTGTTGATAGCATGATGGGTTGGTTCACCACTACAGATTGTTGATAGCATGATGGGTTGGTTACCACCTAGATTGTTGATAGCATGATGGGTTGGTTACCACCACATTGTTGTTGATAGCATGGTGGGTTTGTTACTACTACATTGTTGTTGATAGCATGATGGGTTGGTTACCACTAGATTGTTGATAGCATGATGGGTTAGTTACTACTACATTGTTGTTATCACCACTGGTTAGCACTACATTGTTGTTAATACCACCGGTTGGTTAGCACTACATTGTTGTTGTTAGCATCACCACTGGTTACCACAACATTGTTGTTATCACCACTGGTTACCACTACATTGTTGTTATCCACCACTGGGATTTACCACTACATTCTTGTTGATAGCATGATGGGTTAGTTACCACTAGATTGTTGTTGATAGCATGATGGATTGGTTACCATTAGATTGTTGTTGATAGCATGATGGGTTGGTTACCCATTAGATTGTTGATAGCATGATGGGTTAGTTACTACTACATTGTTGTTATCACCACTGGTTAGCACTACATTGTTGTTATCACCACTGGTTAGCACTACATTGTTGTTGTTATCACCACTGGTTTACTACAACATTGTTGTTATCACCACTGGTTACCACTACATTGTTGTTATCATCACCACTGGTTACCACTACATTCTTTGTTGATAGCATGATGGGTTAGTTACCACTAGATTGTTGTTGATAGCATGATGGATTGGTTACTATTAGATTGTTGTTGATAGCATGATGGGTTGGTTACCATTAGATTGTTGATAGCATGATGGGTTGGTTACCACTACATTGTTGATAGCATGATGGGTTGGTTACCACCATACATTGTTGATAGCATGATGGGTTAGTTACCACTACATTGTTGTTGATAGCATGATGGGTTGGTTACTACTAGATTGTTGATAGCATGATGGGTTGGTTACCACTACATTGTTGATAGCATGATGGGTTAGTTACTACTACATTGTTCTTGATAGCATGATGGGTTGGTTACCACTAGATTGTTGATGATAGCACGATGGGTTGGCTACTACTAGATTGTGGATAGCATGATGGGTTGGTTACCACTAGATTGTTGATAGCATGATGGGTTAGTTACCACTACATTGTTGTTGATTAAGCATGATGGGTTGGTTACCACTAGATTGTTGATAGCATGATAGGTTGGTTACTACTAGATTGTTTATAGCATGATGGGTTGATTACCACTAGATTGTTCATAGCATGATGGGTTGGTTACTACTACATTGTTGATAGCATGATGGGTTGGTTACCACTAGACTGTTGATGGCATGATGGGTCATTTATTACTACATTGTTGTTGATAGCATGATGGGTTGGTTACCACCAGATTGTTAATAGCATGATGGGTTGGTTACCACTACATTGTTGATAGCATGATGGGTTGGTTACTACTACAATGTTGTTGATAGCATGATGGGTTGAGTTACCACTACATTGTTGATAGCATGATGGGTTTGTTACCACTAGATTGTTGATAGCATGATGGGTTGGTTACCACTAGATTGTTGATAGCATGATGGGTTAGTTACTACTACATTGTTGTTGATAGCATGATGGGTTGGTTACCACTAGATTGTTGATAGCATGATGGGTTGGTTACTACTAGATTGTTGATAGCATGATGGGTTGGTTACCACTAGATTGTTGATAGCATGATGGGTTGGTTACGACTAGATTGTTGATATCATGATGGGTTAGTTACTACTACATTCTTGTTGATAGCATGAAGGGTTTGTTACTACTACATTGTTGTTGATAGCATAATGGGTTGGTTACCACTAGATTGTTGATAGCATGATGGGTTGGTTACCACTAGATTGTTGATAGCATGATGGGTTGGTTACCACTAGATTGTTGATAGCATGATGGGTTGGTTACCACTAGATTGTTGATAGCATGATGGGTTAGTTACTACTACATTGTTGTTGATAGCATGATGGGTTGGTTACCACTAGATTGTTGATAGCATGATGGGTTGGTTACTACTAGATTGTTGATAGCATGATGGGTTAGTTACCACCAGATTGTTGATAGCATGATGGGTTGGTTACCACTAGATTGTTGATAGCATGATGGGTTAGTTACTACTACATTGTTGTTGATAGCATGATGGGTTGGTTACCCTCTAGATTGTTGATAGCATGATGGGTTGGTTACCACTAGACTGTTGATAGCATGATGGGTTAGTTACCACTACATTGTTGATAGCATGATGGGTTGGTTACCACCTACATTGTTGATAGCATGATGGGTTAGTTACCACTACATTGTTGATAGCATGATGGGTTGGTTACTACTACAATGTTGTTGATAGCATAATGGGTTTGGTTACTACTACATTGTTGCTTATAGCATGATGGGTTGGTTACCACTAGATTGTTGATAGCATGATGGGTTGGATTTACCACTAGATTGTTGATAGCATGATGGGTTGGTTACTACTACATTGTTGATAGCATGATGGGTTAGTTACTACTACAATGTTGTTGATAGCATGATGGGTTGGTTACTACTACATTGTTGCTGATAGCATGATGGGTTGGTTACCACTTAGATTGTTCATAGCATGATGGGTTGGTTACCACTACATTGTTGATAGCATGATGGGGTTGGTTACCACTACATTGTTGATAGCATGGCTGGTTAGTCCTTCACTGTGTTGCATCTGTCAGGGTCAGGGTTTTCCATGCACATCTAGCAGCCAGCCAGCCTACCATGCACCCGGATCTACACACACTGTTATCCATCTCTGTGTTGCAGCTGTACACAAGCAACAAGTTAAAGCGGGTTCCGACTGGCGGCTTCTTTCCATGTGTTGGCCTTCACTCTAAAGCGAGGGCGGTCCGTCTTCTGGATCTGGATCCATGGCTTCCACCTAAGGAAGGAGGCGATATGTCATTAGAAGCTCCCATGCTCACTAGCCATCTAACAAAGTCAAACAGTAATTCCACTTACCACAATATCTCCATTACATCACTATATAGTCTCTATTACATCACTACATAACTTCTATTACATCACTACATAATTTCTATTACATCACTACATAATCATGCACATAGAGAGAGAGAGAATGTTTTTCAGTATAAAGGCAATAGGCAATACCAGTTAAACTACAAAATTGTTCAAATGTATTTACAACGTTTTTGAAGCTGTAAGGAAGAATCTGTGACAGAAGATCCATCATCTTCAAACATTACTATGAAAATATTCTCAAAAGATGGACGTGCATAAACTTTTCTGCCACCATGAACCACCATGGTCTCAATAAGTTGATTCAGGAAGATAAGAAAAGTTTATGGACTTAGAATACAACCCTGACATGTGCCAATATCACAGGAGAAATACTCTGTCCGGCTACCCTTCCAGTATATGTCATGGTGTAACACAGTACCCCAGTACATGTCAAGGTGTAACACAGTACCCCCCAGTACATGTCAAGGTGTAACACAGTACCCCAGTACATGTCAAGGTGTAACACAGTACCCCCAGTACATGTCAAGGTGTAACACAGTACCCCCAGTACATGTCAAAGTGTAACATAGTACCCCCAGTACATGTCAAAGTGTAACACAGTACCCCAGTACATGTCAAAGTGTAACATAGTACCCCCAGTACATGTCATGGTGTAACACAGTACCCCAGTACGTGTCATGGTGTAACACAACACCCCAGTACATGTCAAGGTGTAACATAGTACCCCAGTACATATGTCATGGTGTAACACAGTACCCCAGTACATGTCATGGTGTAACACAGTACCCCCAGTACATGTCAAGGTGTAACACAGTACCCCAGTACATGTCAAGGTGTAACACAGTACCCCAGTACATGTCAAGGTGTAACACAGTACCCCAGTACATGTCAAGGTGTGACACAGTAACCCCAGTACATGTCAAGGTGTAACACACAGTACCCCAGTACATGTCAAGGTGTAACACAGTACCCCCAGTCAAGGTGTAACACACAGTCATGGTGTAACACAGTACCCCAGTACATGTCAAGGTGTAACATAGTACCCCAGTATACAGTCATGGTGTAACACAGTACCCCCAGTACATGTCATGGTGTAACACAGTACCCCCAGTACATGTCAAGGTGTAACACAGTACCCCAGTACATGTCATGGTGTAACACAGTACCCCCAGTACATGTCAAGGTGTAACACAGTACCCCCAGTACATGTCATGGTGTAACACAGTACCCCAGTACATGTCAAGGTGTAACACAGTACCCCCTAGTACATGTCAAGGTGTAACACAGCAGTACCCCAGTACATGTCAAGGTGTAACACTGTACCCCAGTACATGTCAAGGTGTAACACAGTACCCCCAGTACATGTCAAGGTGTAACACAGTACCCCAGTAACACATACCCCCAAGGTGTAACACAGTACCCCAGTACATGTCAAGGTGTAACACAGTACCCCCAGTACATGTCAAGGTGTAACACAGTACCCCCAGTACATGTCAAGGTGTAACACAGTACCCCCAGTACATGTCAAGGTGTAACACAGTACCCCCCAGTACATGTCATGGTGTAACACAGTACCCCCCAGTACATGTCAAGGTGTAACACAGTACCCCAGTACATGTATGTCAAGGTGTCACAGTGTAACACAGTACCCCCCAGTACACATGTCAAGGTGTGACATTGTACCCCAATACATGTCAAGGTGTAACACAGTACCCCCAGTACATGTCATGGTGTAACACAGTACCCCCCAGTACATGTCATGGTGTAACACAGTACCCCCAGTACATGTCAAAGTGTAACACAGTACCCCCAGTACATGTCAAAGTGTAACACAGTACCCCAGTACATGTCAAAGTGTAACACAGTACCCCAGTACATATGTCATGGTGTAACACAGTACCCCCAGTACATGTCAAGGTGTAACACAGTACCCCAGTACATGTCAAGGTGTAACACAGTACCCCCAGTACATGTCAAGGTGTAACACAGTACCCCCCAGTACATGTCATGGTGTAACACAGTACCCCCCAGTACATGTCAAGGTGTAACACAGTACCCCAGTACATGTCAAGGTAACACAGTGACATTGTAACACAGTACCCCAAGTACATGTCAAGGTGTAACATTGTTTCCCAGTACATGTCAAGGTGTAACACAGTACCCCAGTACATGTCATGGTGTAACACAGTACCCCCCAGTACATGTCATCATATGCTAAGGTGTAACACAGTACCCCCCAGTACATGTCAAGGTGTAACACAGTACCCCCCAGTACATGTCATGGTGTAACACAGTACCCCCCAGTACATGTCAATGTGTAACATAGTACCCCCAGTACATGTCAAGGTGTAACACAGTACCCCCCAGTACATGTCAAGCTGTGACTTATCCACCTTATGTTTTCAGATTCCAGCATTGCCTCCAGCCTTCGACACCTACAAGTATGGCAACCTGTGGATCAGGTGGGTTGCAGGTTGACAATCATCTTCACAGGCACATAGTGGGTTAGATGTTTAATAGACCCCTGTCTGTATAAGCAAGAGGTTGCTTGTTTAACAAATCGGCTTTCCTTTTGTGAAATATTGATGTGTTTTGATATTGTCTTCACCTTGCTCATGTCAATAAAGTCACTCATTTTTATCATGACATTCATTAGCATATTTTCCATGCATAGTTTGCACTGAAAGTGTGGTAGTTCTTCTCTCCAAGTTCTCTGCAGCATCCTGTCAGTTTCTTTACACAGGTTGGTGAGATCAGTTACTACAGTCTGCAACTGAGCATCTCAGTGTCTGTGTCACCTTGTATGTTTGTCTGTGTCAAATAGTATATTTCTAGTATAGCAAAGTATATTGTTTTTGCCACAGCTGCATGAGTTCGATATTCTCAAATCACCTATGCGTTTCTTTTCTTGAAGATTGTAAATGTACATTGTCTTCACAAGGGCACATTGTGTAAAAAGTAATGTAAGTTTGTTTGCATTTTCTGTTTCACTTTAGTCCAGGACTGAAGTTATCTCTTCACCGTCAAAAACAGAATTTGGAAGGATGGCTAATGTTACATAATCCAAGCAAAGATCTTGTAGGATTTGTGGTGAGTATAACATTTTGCAGGATACTTGTTGAGTATAAGATGCAGTTGGCATTGTAGGATTGAATGATCGTAGGATATGTGGTGAATGTAACACCCTGTAGGATATGTGGTGAGTGTAACACCCTGTAGAATATGTGGTGAATGTAACACCCTGTAGAATATGTGGTGAATGTAACACCCTGTAGAATATGTGGTGAATGTAACACCCTGTAGAATATGTGGTGGGTGTAACACCCTGTAGAATATGTGGTGAATGTAACACCCTGTAGAATATGTGGTGGGTGTAACACCCTGTAGAATATGTGGTGAATGTAACACCCTGTAGAATATGTGGTGAATGTAACACCCTGTAGAATATGTGGTGGGTGTAACACCCAGGAGAATATGTGGTGGGTGTAACACCCTGTAAAATATATGTGGTGAGTGTAACACCCTGTAGAATATGGTGAGTGTAACACCCTGTAGAGAATATGTGGTGAGTGTAACACCCCTGTAGAATATGTGGTGGGTGTAACACCCTGTAGAATATGTGGTGAATGTAACACCCTGTAGAATATGTGGTGGGTGTAACACCCTGTAAAATATGTGGTGGGTGTAACACCCTGTAGAATATGTGGTGAGTGTAACACCCTGTAGAATATATGTGGTGAGTGTAACACCCTGTAGAATATGTGGTGGATGTAACACCCTGTAGAATATGTGGTGAGTGTAACACCCTGTAAAATATGTGGTGGGTGAAACACCCTGTAGAATATGTGGTGAATGTAACACCCTGTAGAATATGTGGTGGGTGTAACACCCTGTAGGATATGTGGTGAGTGTAACACCCTGTAAAATATGTGGTGGGTGAAACACCCTGTAGAATATGTGGTGAGTGTAACACCCTGTAGAATATGTGGTGGGTGTAACACCCTGTAGAATATGTGAGTGAATGTAACACCCTGTAGAGATATATGTGGTGAGGTAACACCCTGTAGAATATGTGGTGAATGTAACACCCTGTAGAATATGTGGTGAATGTAACACCCTGTAGGATATGTGGTGGGTGTAACACCCAGGAGAATATGTGGTGAGTGTAACACCCTGTAAAATATGTGGTGGGTGTAACACCCTGTAGAATATGTGGTGAGTGTAACACCCTGTAGAATATGTGGTGAGCATAACACCCTGTAGAATATGTGGTGGGTGTAACACCCTGTAGAATATGTGGTGAATGTAACACCCTGTAGAATATGTGGTGGGTGTAACACCCTGTAGAATATGTGGTGGGTGTAACACCCTGTAGAATATGTGGTGAGTGTAACACCCTGTAGAATATGTGGTGAGTGTAACACCCTGTAGAATATGTGGTGGGTGTAACACCCTGTAGAATATGTGGTGAGTGTAACACCCTGTAAAATATGTGGTGGGTGAAACACCCTGTAGAATATGTGGTGAATGTAACACCCTGTAGAATATGTGGTGGGTGTAATACCCTGTAGAATATGTGGTGAGTGTAACACCCTGTAGAATATGTGGTGAGTGTACCACCCTGTAGAATATGTAGTGGGTGTTACACCCTGTAGAAGAATATGTGGTGGGTGTACCACCCTGTAGAATATGTGGTTAGTGTATGCCACCCTGTAGAATATGTGGTGGGTGTTACACCCCTGTAGAATATGTGGTGGGTGAAACACCCTGTAGAATATGTGGTGAATGTAACACCCTGTAGAATATGTGGTGGGTGTAACACCCTGTAGAATATGTGGTGAGTGTAACACCCTGTAGAATATGTGGTGAGTGTACCACCCTGTAGAATATGTGGTGGGTGTAACACCCTGTAGAATATGTGGTGGAGTGTACCACCCTGTAGAATATGTGGTGGGTGTAACACCCTGTAGAATATGTGGTGGGTGTAACACCCTGTAGAATATGTGGTGGGTGTAACACCCTGTAGAATATGTGGTGAGTGTAACACCCTGTAGAATATGTGGTGGGTGTAACACCCTGTAGAGATATGTGGTGAGTGTACCCACCCTGTAGAATATGTGGTGGGTGTAACACCCTGTAGAATATGTGGTGGGTGTAACACCCTGTAGAATATGTGGTGAGTGTAACACCCTGTAGAATATGTGGTGGGTGTAACACCCTGTAGAATATGTGGTGAGCGTAACACCCTGTAGAATATGTGGTGAGTGTAACACCCTGTAGGATATGTGGTGGGTGTAACACCCTGTAGGATATGTGGTGGGTGTAACACCCTGTAGAATATGTGGTGGGTGTAACACCCTGTAGAATATGTGGTGGGTGTAACACCCTGTAGAATATGTGGTGGGTGTAACACCCTGTAGAGATATGTGTTGGCGTAACTCCCTGTAGAATATGTGGTGAAGGTGTAACACCCTGTAGAATATGTGGTGGGTGTAACACCCTGTAGAATATGTGGTGGCTGTAACACCCTGTAGGATATGTGGTGGGTGTAACACCCTGTGTAGAATATGTGGTGGTAACACCCTGTAGAATATGTGGTGAGTGTAACACCCTGTAGGATATGTGGTGGGTGTAACACCCTGTAGAATATGTGGTGAGTGTAACACCCTGTAGAATATGTGGTGGGTGTAACACCCTGTAGAATATGTGGTGGGTGTAACACCCTGTAGAATATGTGGTGGGTGTAACACCCTGTGGAGATATGTGGTGGGTGTAACACCCTGTAGAATATGTGGTGGCTGTAACACCCTGTAGGATATGTGGTGGGTGTAACACCCTGTAGAATATGTGGTGAAGTAACACCCTGTAGAATATGTGTGGTGAGTGTAACACCCTGTAGGATATGTGGTGGGTGTAACACCCTGTAGGATATGTGGTGAGTGTAACACCCTGTAGAATATGTGGTGGGTGTAACACCCTGTAGAATATGTGGTGGGTGTAACACCCTGTAGAATATGTGGTGAGTGTAACACCCTGTAGAATATGTGGTGGGTGTAACACCCTGTAGAATATGTGGTGGGTGTAACACCCTGTAGAATATGTGGTCGATGTAACACCCTGTAGAATATGTGGTGGGTGTAGGTTATGAGGTGAGTTTAATAACATCTTGTAGGATATGTGGTGAGTGTAATATTTTGTAGGAAATATTGTAAGTGTGACATCTTGTAGGATAAATGGTGAGTGGTGTCTAATGTCATCAGTAATGAACTCAGTAAATGTCATCTGTAGTCAACTTTGTCTAATGTCATCAGTAATCAACTTTGTCTAATGTCATCAGTAATCAACTCTATCTATTGTTGTCAGTTATCAACTGTTTCATGTTGTCAAACAAGACTCTGTGTATTAAAAGATTTTAGCCAATGTGCCAATCTGTGAGCAGGGTACACAAGGCTTAAAGGAGAATGCTAGACAATTGCAATAACTTGCTGGGTGAAATATAAAGTCACTGGAAACATGTACCCCAATTTTAATTTAAAATATGGTTATTTATGTCTTACTCACAAAACAGTTTCTATTATCTGAGCTTTGGTCATTATGCATGTTCCACTGGAATTCAAGTGACCTTTGCTTGTGACATCGTATGTGACTAGAGCCCGCCATATTGCCAAAGACCAGGTTCTACAGTAATACAGATCGTGTTGTTTCTGTCATTTCTGTAAATGGTACGATGGTGTATTGCATTGCCTGGGGATGCGGCATCATCATTACAATGGAAAGAGTCACTATTTCTTCCCTTTTCTAAGTAAAAGTCAGATTTAGGCAGGAGAAATGTTCTGACCATTTCGATTTGAAGCATATAAAGAGACATGCATACATGGGGTATGAAAATCGAAAGCTTGGCTGAAGAAGGAAGCAGTACCCATGAGAGTCATTTATACTACATCATTCCATGTTACAACTTACTTTCAGTGGTATTATTTAACATAGATTAAATCAAGTTCAATTGTGATGAAATAGGCCTAGGGTTCCAGTCAAATTTCCCCAGCTACAAAATGCCCGAGGAAAATTCTTTAGAGTGTCCCGGATTTCTGGTCAAATTGCCCCAGGGGGTAGGCAAAATGCCCCAATGTATTTAAAATGATTAAATATATGCCATAAATGCATAGATTTTGTCAACTTTGATATTATGTTCTTCATATAAAAGTTATTTATATATATATAGTTATAAGTTTACTAATGGAACATTTATCAGAAATATTACTTCCTAATAACCTTTTGAAGAACATAATATCAAAGTTGATGAAAACTATGCATTTATGGTATATATTTAATCATTTTAAATACATTTTACCAAATTAGGATCAATGACCAAATCTGCTGGGGCATTTTGTTAGCTGGGGCCGTTCGACTGGTACCCTTGAGATATATATTATCAAAATCAGTAAGAGATTTCACATGAACTTGAAAATGTTTCGCTATATAATGTTTGTTTCGGTTTTGACACCTTATTGCTGCAGTCTACCCAAGAAAAATTGCCGAATACAACAGCAAATCATGAAGTACTTGTTACTTTCATTGTTTTCCATTTTGTCCAATTACGCACATCAGCTTCAGACTTGCTGTTTGTCAGTAGTAAGTTGCCGTGAAAGTTGTCCTGTATTCTCATTGGCTGACAAGATGTCATTCTAAGGTTGTGATCGAGCTCCATTACTGTTTACATCAGCAAGAACTAGGGAAATATACATTGTCCTGAATAGTATTTTATAATTCACCAGTTTTCGGGGCATAACTTATCTGCATCACTCATATTATCTCTGCTTGACCAGGCTGGGATCTTGTATGGAAATGTGATACATTATTAATGAGAAGCTTCGATCCTAAGTTTTTTCAACAAAATAATTGCAGTATAAGTTTTGTAGCAGATAATTTCTGTTTTCCCCCGTCTGAAGCATAATCATTCTATTTTCAAATCCCAGACACCCTGTGACACAAAAGGAACTGCAATCACATTTCCAAAAAAACATATTTACTTAGGGACTGGTCATTTATTTATAGGGGTGGGTGTACTAGTTGGACTATCACAGTTTGCC